TTGTGTATAATTATCAATCAATTATAAATTAAGAGTTACAGATAAGAGAAGTATCTACCATTTTTTCTAAACTGTAATAAATATTTTATTATAAAGAAAAAATCCAAAGACTAATTTCAACTTATTTAGTTTAATAAAAGTTAAAAAACTATAAGATAACTTTTTACTTACCCAATAGTAGTCATACTGACAAATGCCCAATATACACCATGTAAAATACCACGAACAAAGCTTTCATTTGGAAACTCAACTTTGTTCACTTTACAATCCTTTTGAAAATAGTTTCATTTTCTTGAGTAAAAATTTCAACTCTAAACTACATGAACAAAATATTAAAAAAAATTACCAGAATCCACATAAAGATTCCACTGACAGTTGAGAAAAAAAATATAATAAAAACAGCAGGCCAACAGTTTAAAATAGCTACAGCAACTGCTTGTGACTTGTTAAAAGATTTTGATTTGTCAATTACTATGAACCCAATGCCTGGAGAAGAAACAATTTGCACATACTTATATTGTGACTGGAATGTTTCAATTGATGCTTTGCCACTGACAGGCAAATGGAAATGTACATTATTATTGACCATTGTTTTCAATTCATCTTCATCTAAATGATTGAAAAAAAAAAGTTAGAACTATATACCTAAATAGAAAAACCAGTTTTCAAAAAACAGCTATAGTATTACTAATATAATTCATATATAATTATATAATTCATGTATATATATGTGTATATATATATATATATATATATATATATATATATATATATATATATATATATATATATATATATATATATATATATATATATATATATATATATATATATATGTATATATATATATATATATATATATATATATATATATATATATATATATATATATATATATATATATATATATATATGTATATATATATATATATATATATATATATATATATATATATATATATATATATATATATATATATATATATATATATATATATATAAAAGCATTTTCCTATTATAGGGCAACCACCCTTTGAAAAATGCAACCACCCTTTCAAAGTATATATGGCAGATAAAAGAAAACTTAAAAATAACACCCAAATTAACCTGGTCAATAATTAAACAAGTCCCCACCTTCAGCAATCTAACAAAAAAATGCTTGCTTTGCCTTCGTGAAAAACTTTGCATAATATTATATAAAGGTACGCAAGAATTATTAAATAAAAAAACAAAAATAATATTTAAGTGCCATGGTGCAAGATTGATGTTGATTAGGTGCAAGATTGATGTTGCGGTTTTTGAAAAAATGATTCAATTGACAATACAAATTAATGGGCCCAGATGACACAAACCCTTATGTCCTCAATGAGTGTGTTTTTGCTTGGCCTATTTTCCTTTTGATATTATCATAATTTGAGACAGGTATAACAACTAATATTTGGAAAGAAGCTAATGTGATACTAATAAAAAAAGAAAAATGTAAACTATCTGTAAAATATCTTTAACAGCCATATTATGTAAGATATTGGTCTTAATAATATGGCTTATTATTAATAATAAGCCATATTATTAAGACTGTTGAAAAATAAATAATGAGTCACCTAGTTAAGTACAATCTATTCTCTAAGTATCAATACGGTTTTGTCAAGCAAAATTCATGTGTTACAAATTTACTATAAACAAACATTGCATCTGAGACACTGAATCATGGTCTTTACAAAATTGTAATATACTTGGATTTTCCTAAAGATACTGATAAAGTCTGACATGAAGTGTTAATTATCAAATTGTAGGCTTATGGTTTTAAAGGTAAATAACTGAGCCGGCTCAAAGCAATCCTTCTGAACCAAAAATAACATATTATTTTTGATAAAAACTACTCTAAATAAATAAAAGTTCAAAATGAGGTATTGAAAGGATTTGTACTTGGTTTACTACTGATAATCAGTTCAGCTGTCCTAGTTCATTTTGATCAGCTCCGCTCTATACCAAAAACTCAATTTTATCATTATTATTATAATATTATATAAAATGTATACTAAAAATCTTATATAAAATACTATATTAATACTCAAGTATTATATAAATATTATAAACATTATTGCATTAAGATTGTAAACTACCATATTAATGTTATTTATGAAACTATTATATATTTTATGAATATATTAAAATTATTACAGTATACTACCATTACAGTATTTAAAATACAGCATTACTATTAATGTAAAGTATAATGTTAATATGTAATAGTAATTTTATTTATAACAATAATATATAATATTAACTATAATAATAAATTTAATTAACTATCAAAAAAATATTTTCAATTACTTCTAACAAAAATTATTTAAAAATCTGTTGTCCTATGTCTACAATAGTGTGGCAAGCAACGATAAAATTATTTTGGATACTATGTTGAATTTTTGTAATTGATGATTTTAGCCAAAATATTCTGAAAAATTATTACTCACTATTTCGCATTGGAGTTCTGCCATCTTTTGTTCGATCCCAATATAGACTATAAGATAAATTTCCATCTTCTAAACCAGGACTACAGGAACATATTGAGTCAGACATGTTTTTTAAAAAATCATACATTATTCCTCCAGTAACATTAAAACCTTGCCCATTAATTAAACCTTTCTTTAGGTACCATGCAGTATATATCTTCAAGGGACATTTGCAAGATTCTAAAAATTTAAGAAACTAATAGAATTTGAAGAAAATTAGAATATCAATACATTAAATAATCAAATATATATACTATTTTTATTAGCAGAGAAATCAAAGAAATATTAAAACATTTTCTAGTAACTATTATAAACACCGCTGCATACCAATATATATAGTGTTACTCTTAATTCCTGGTCCAATAGCAGTTTCACCAGCAACGTATACAGTATATTCTGTGTTAACTGACAAATCTTTTATAACATACCCAGTGGTGAAACTGTCAACCTATATATGGATATTGTAAAAATATAGTAATACTGTAGTAATATATAGTATAGATAACACAATATAGCATTATAATAATATACATAACATAATACAAATTGAGCAAAATGAATAATCGCAAATGAATAATACAGCTTTAGTCTACACAAGCATGAAAAAGGATTTAGGAGTGTACATTTGATTTGAGTGTACAGATGATTTGGAATGGAAACACCATGTAAATAAAGCAGTATATAAAGCAAATCAAAAGCTAGATCAGATCAAACACACTTTTGAATATTTATATGAAAAAACAATGAAACTCTTGTTTATAGCCTTGTACATCAACATTTGGAATACACAGCTCCCATTTGGAATCCTTATTGGCAGTATGATAAAGATAAGCTAGAGAGTGTCCGACAGAGAACTTCTAGAATTAAATACTTAAAAGGATACAGTTATGAAGAGAGATTTAAAACGTTGGATTTACAATCATGGGAGAACAGAAAAAGATGGGGTGATTTGATACAAATGTTAAAATATTTAAAAGGGAACGATATTTTAAATTTTTACACAACACCCGAAATGCTAGATAACATATATAAAATTAGATTTCACAATAGTAAACTGAAAGGGCAATATACAGGAAATATAAAACAACATAATTTTTTCACTAATAGAGTATTAAACGACTAGAGCAATCTTAAGCAAAAAAACAAAAACGCAGTCAGTATCAACCAATACAAAACAAATTGGATTATCATTTTAAATACTAACTTTTATTATGTTAGTATGTTTGTGTGTTACAGCTGTTACAGTTACAAACTCTACATAGTTTGGACTCATCACTCTACAAATGTACAGGATTATTATATTATATTATAAATTATATATCAGACTTGGTTGGGAAGTGGGAGTGATCGCTCTCGAATACTTATCACGGAAATTATATTTAGTTGTGAAAAACGGCCAGGTTTTTTAGTCGTTTTGAGAACATTTTAAAAACAATGAACAAATAAAATAATTAAATCATTAAGTTACTTTAGAAATTAAACTAAATAGTTAAAAACTATCTGTGTGAAGTGGAACTGCTTCACAATAGATGATGTTTATTGAGATGATGTTTAGTGAGTGGGCTTTTTAATTTTAATTAGTATATAAAATGTAAAAAAGTAACTTTAAGTTTAAGTATAACGAGTTTGTAAGAATGGCAACTGAAGCAAAATTAATTAGAGTTAGTAAACCAATATCTAAGAACTTAAAAACTTTTCTTTCTTGGGGGAAAGAATCAGTTATTGGGTACACTAAAGGAAACGGATTAGTTGTTAAAATATAGTGTAAGATTTGTGCTAGGCACAAAATATAAAGTATTATATAATGCGCTGTGAATTTATCTTATTAGTTATTACATTGCGAAGATAACCAACTTTTTATTGAATTATTTAATTTTAATCGTGAATTTTTTTGATAATAATGAAGGTCGATTGCCATCTTAAAGGACAATGTCATAGGTTGGCGGTACAAATTGAAAATGGGTATTCTGAAGATCCTGGAAGTAGAGTCACCAATCTTGATATAGAAAACTCAATACCACATAACAGCCGCGATGCGTTATCAAAAATGTTAAGAATGGCCTATGAAATGGCTTTAAAACCATGCATGCCACATAGCAATTTCGAGACGCTGATAAAATGTCAAAGAATTAATGGTGTACTTCTTTTAGAAGGAAAATGCAACAATAAAGCAGGTTATTGATTTTTTTATAATCATTACAACCATTTTTTTTCTAAATAATTTTTTATTTTTTTTACAACATTTTATTTAACTTGCATTCTTGTAGGTTTGTTTATTTACATATTATTTTGGTGTCTGCGCAAAACAAACACGAGGTCAGCATACTAATAAAAGAAATCGTTTAAAAAAGCAACTAAAACAAACAACGCTAAACAGGCATAAGTTTAGGGATCGTCCATAAATCGTTAAGAAGAGTAATTATAACAAACAACAAACTTTTAGAGCTTTAGTTTAGCGTGAATAAATAGAATTGTTGTTAAATAATAAAAAAATATATATATAAAAAACTATTTAAAAACAACATTTTAAAAATGGGATAAAGAGTATTTCACGAGACCCAAGGACTTAGTGTACATACACAACCGAAAATATCCATTAAAGTCAATGACTGCAAATGTTGGGCAACTAAGTACAACTTGTTCCTATTGGCACCAAATATTTACATTCATTGACTTTAATGAATATTTCAGTGTGTGTATGTACACATAGTTATTGGGTCCCGTGAAATAGTTAATTTTTTACTTTTTGGTCCATTTTTTAAAAGTTGTTTTTAAAAAGTTTTTTTTATACATTTTTTTAAATTTCGTTTTTTAGCACGTGAATCTCCTGCATAGCCAGTGCTGTAAAAGAAAAAGTTCTAAAATCATCAATGATAAAAGTTTTTTCTCAATTCTCTCCGATGGCTCACAGACTAGAAAAACGAAGGATGAGTAAGAGTTGATTCTTGTACGCGTTGAACGCGAGGGGACCCCTACTTATATGATGACGCAGATATGCGTGCTAAGATTTCTGGGATATACAAATGGTTACATGAATACAGACTATTATGTATAGTTTGTAGTTATTTGGATATTTTAGAAAATTTAACTCTGTTATCATTGGTTTTCGAGAAGAAAATGTTAATGGTAAATGAATTGAAACCAGCAGTGAATGTAACTAAGGCTAGCTTGGCAATGAAGGTATCAATAATATTATTGATTCATATTTAGAATCAATGAAAAAAATGGTACAACTAATCCTGTTTCTTCATATTTTAAAGAAGGCCACAAATTGTAAAAATTGAATCCAGAGTTCATTCAGATTGAGCTCGGCAACATGGCTAATCTTAACTTGGAATGTCTTAGTTCTACCATTAAATGAAGAAAATCAGCAATTGACATCATTCTGCCATTGATAAACAATAGATTTAGTCCGCTGTTAAATCCAATATTCGAATCAATGGATTGGTTAGATCCACAATTATGGACAGCAGACAGCATGTATGGTGATGTCAGCATATCTTTATTACTAAAAGAACTCTTTTACTCTATAGAGACTGCAGGAATAGATTTTAAAATGGTTCTTTCAGAATGGAAAGCTGCAAAACTAGTAATAAATACTCAGTACACAATTGCACTCACACCACTAGAAATGTAGCAGAAATTTTTCCTTCAACATAGAATCAAGTTTCCAAACTTGACTGTAATACTGACTGATAGGTGTTTAAAGATGAACCACTCAACAATGGAAGACTCTATAATAATAGCAGGGAATGACCAGAATTTCACTTACCAAGAACGAGAAGATATTTTAAGTCACACTGGGGATATCTATTTAAGTAAGCGAAGAGTTTATCGCCTTGATTCAGCTAATGGTAGCAAAGTCACTGAATATAGTAGCAACAAAAGCAGCTACAGTAACAATTGAGTGCTGATCCACTCATAAGTCACTTTATGTATGTATTTATGTTTGTGTTTTGTTGTGTATGCTTTTGCTTCATTCATGTATGTTTGTGTTTTGTCTCAACCTCTGGCACGGTGCTGATCCACTCGTAAGTCACTTTATGTATGTATTTATGTTTGTGTTTTTTTGTGTATGCTTTTGCTTCATACATGTATGTTTGTGTTTTGTCATGACCTCTGGCGCGGTGCTGATCCACTCATAAGTCACTTTATGTATGTATTTATGTTTGTGTTGTGAAACAATATTGTCTAATGTTGGATATAGCTTCTTAACATGAAGTTTTGTTGAGCTCACTTCTTATGGGATGCGTCATTGCTGTTTGCCAAAACACAAAATAGTTTTTTAGTTTTATTGCTTAGATTTAGTCCCATAAAATCATTACATTACTGAAGAGTCCTAGAGGACGAAACAATATTGTCTGCTACTCTCGAGTCCTTAATGCAGGGGGGGATGGGAATTTTAGTCTGAAAGTTTCAATATTTATCAGTTACTCTAATGTTTTTTAGTTTGTAAAGCCAATTTCCACTTAATTTTTTTTTTCTAGTTTTGAAAAATAATTTTTTTGTTGATAGCAAGTAAAATTAATAAAGGAGGGGGGGGGGGGGGGGGGGAAATGAGCTAAAGGTGGATGGGAAAATTTTTTAAAAATAAATTTATAAACATCTGCCCCACCCACTTCTATTAAGTACTCGAGAATATATATATATATATATATATATATATATATATATATATATATATATATATATATATATATATATATATATATATATATATATATATATATATTGTATATACATATATATATATATATATATATATATATATATATATATATATATATATATATATATATATATATATATTTGTGTCCTGTTGTGACCTCACACGGGATGCTTGTTCATCCGCGAGTTACTTTGTATGCATGTTTGTGTTTAGTAACCAGTATCTCTTTTTGTGTGTTCATTTCATAATTAGTTTTATCAACTTTGATGATTATTATTGAAAATGCAATTTTTGTTGAAAGTCTTTATGCTTACAAAATAAATAGCAAAAACTGCTTTAAAATATTACATTAGAATATAAACAGAAACACAAAATTACATAAAAAATAAATAATTTTTAAATAAAAAATAAGAATATACTAATAAAATATTTAACTTAAAATAAACTTTTAAAATTTTGACAATTTAAAAAATATGTATTATAAAACTTTTATTTTTGTAAACAAATAATAATTGCTTAAAAAAAGATTTACGGCTTAGCAGAGGTGGCTCTAAGAAATACGGCTTAGCAGAGGTGGCTCTAAGATTTACGGCTTAGCAGAGGTGGCTCTAAGAATGAGCCATAGTATTAAAATAATAATTTGTTTGATAATATATTCTTAAAACAATTTATGCTAGAAGTTTTAAAAGTTAACAAATCTTGAATGATGCAATTTTTAAAACATTTTAACAGAATATTCTAGAACTTTATTTCGCTTAGTAAGTGTATTTTTTGAACCAATAGAATTAGTTTGTTTGTAAATTTGGCGAGTTTTTAGTGTTAGCTTTTTATTCTTCGGCACCAAGATATTTTGAGAACATTCAAGTTAATGTACGTTTCCATGTATGTCCGTAAAACAAAAATATTTTGTTTTACAAAAATACATAAACTTAAATGTTCTCAAAACGAATAAATAATGTGGCCAGTTTTTCGCAACTAAATATAATTTTTTTAATCACTGATTATTATGAAACAATTAACATTGATGTGCCCATGACATTTTGTTTATGTTTTATTGGGAAAAAAACTTTGAAAAACTCAAGTTGTACTAACAGAAGAAATGGATCAAAGCTATACCACTGATAACATCTTTACTGATTTCTAAAGCCTTTGATAAAGCTTCACACAATAGACTTGTACACAAACCTGAAACTTACGGTAAAAATGAGTTGAAGTATGTAGAGTAAGTAAGAAGAGAGGGCCAATTTAATTAGAAATTACATTTAAAAGTGCAGTCTTGGGAAAAGGGAGAACAATAAAGAACAAAGAAAAAGGTGATAGAGTGAAGAGATCTGAAACAGATGACCAGATTTCTTAACAAATAGGTGAACTGATAAGCGTGTATACGCACAAGCCTAACATATGACTATTGGAATTTTTTTTAATCAAAGGATAGTCGCTATTAATACTGAGATCTGAAGAAGGCACAACAACAGAAAAAGCAGATTTTAAATTAGTCTCACAAAGAGCAAGCAAGAGTATTTTGGTGAATTTTGGTTTGCAAAAGATATGATTTAATTTGTAAAATACATATTAAAACAGTTAGGTTGTGGTGATGGTGACACTAACATAATTTATATGATAAAGTATTTAGATAAAACAATAAACATCTTTGTGGAAAAACAACACAAAAATTACAAGGGAAACTATTTGTTTAACTAAACATTTCAGAAAAGCTATACTAAATATATATATATATATATATATATATATATATATATATATATATATATATATATATATATATATATATATATATATATATATTTATATATATATATAGATATATATATATATATATATAATATATATATATATATATAAAATATATATACAAAAAAATAAACTGTTAATTTTTATTATATTTTTTTGTTTAAAGTAAAGGTTAAACTTGTTTATAGTGCTGCAATTTTTTAAAAATATTTTTGAGTTTTTCTCTGTTAACAAATCCTGCCAAAATAGGTAATTTTCATATAAAAAAATTAATATACCAATATAAATGCTCATAAATGATTTTGAAATACTCAAATAAATTATTTATAGATCTTTCATTCGATATATAATAAATGATACTTCAAAATCTCCTTTATGTTTAAAAAAGTTGCATATAGTTGCTCCAAAAAATAACTTATTATTGATAGCGCCATTTTTTTTTTTATTATTGTTGCTACTTGTTTTTCTTTACTTTAGATGGACCAAAAGTCTGAAAAAGATATTTGCGTTTTAATTAATTCATATAAATGTATTTTTCACTAAATATGTGGAAATTCAAATATTCCAAAGAAAAAAGAAAAAATACAATTCAGCAGAATAAGTTTTATTCTCAAGATTTTATAAATGAATTAAGAATTCTTAAAATTATTAGAACAAGTTGCAACAAAATGTTAAAAAGATTTAACATTTTGTTGCAACTTGTTCTAAATGTTAAAAAGATTTAATTAAAACACAAAAATGCTATCAAAGAATTACAGGAACAAATAAAAAGGGCAAGAAAACAAACAACTTTTAAAACAAATCTAATTTTAGTTTTTTTTTCTAAAACTATTGTTTTAAAAAAAAAAAAGTTAATAGGCTAATAATAGAAACCAAAAAATTAAAAACATATGACCTACCCATAAGAAAATGTGGAAAGTGTCTCATTTTTGTTGGAAAAAATGTTTACACAACAAAGAACTGCAAGAAACACCATACTCATCCACAGTAAATAGAATGGCATATAAGCCAGGTGTTTAGCATTGGTTCAGGTAAGTTAGACACTTTTTCATAGTGAATGCGCAACAGTAGTGGTTGGCGCAACCAACATTTTAGACATTCAATTAATGCAACTGTACTGCAATGTTCATCCACTGGAAACTATTGCCTTAGAATCATTATTAGCTCTTAAAACAATAGATAATGAGCTGAAGATAAAACCGGCTAAAGGAACTGATGGGGTTGCAGTAACAGTCCTCAAAAATATTTTTAAGTCAAGGTAATCTTTTATATGTATAACATTAATAATATTCATTATTTTGAGTTTTTTTAGTTTTATTTACTTGTGAGCAATTGTTTCTTTATTATTTCACTGTTTTGAAAATTTGAAACTGTAACTTTTTTACCCTTTAAAAATCAGGTATATTTTTAAAGACGATCCTAAAAAAACAATGTTGCTCAGGGCTATTCCTTAGATATGTTGCTAGCAGATTTCATATTTTGTTCCATGTGTCAGGGATTCTTGTCACATACAAAAGATTTATAAAAAACCTTTCTTAAAAAGTAAGTTTTTTTTAGATAAATATCAACTTCAATAGAATTCTGTGTATTAAATTTTTTTTTTGTTATTACAGTAACACCAAAAATAAAACTTGCCAACTCTTACCTCAAGACATGCGTAAAGACGCTGGTACAACTGCAAGGGTTAGGCCTGATAGGAAAAATAATAACTGGGCCATGAATGAGAATGGTTTATAAAAATGCAACAGAAAAAAGTTATCTTGAGTTTGTAAGTTTTTAAGGTTTCTTAATAAAGTAATAAAGTGATTGAAAAAATGTACAAGCATTTATTATTTTTTTGGTGACATTTTCCAGAAAGCAATTTCCAGAAAGGAAATTAGCTTACTTCAAAAGTAATCCATAATCAATTCTTTATACAGATGTGGATAATTTTAGTCAAGTATTGAATGTTAAAGAAGATAATGTACACCAATCTCTTCGTGTCATAAAAAATAAAAAAAATTTGGTAAAGATTTTATCAGCTTTTGATAAGCTCCACAGAGACAGTACTCAAAAGATAGATGGCCAATTATTTGACAATCTCTCAAATCCATCTAAAGAAATGGTAAAAACCACACTATCTGCTCCACCACATACAATGGAGGCCAAAAAGGATCTTGAACATGCTTAATTTTTTTTTTTTCGTCATGCTCAAAATGCTACTTTTTGTTTTCTAGATTCAAAAATAAAAGCCAGAGTAAACAAAACATTAAAATGGCTTGATAAGAAAACATTGCCAGAACAAGATCTTATTCAATTTGCGATTCGCAGAGGAGCTTTAACATGTCAAGTCTCTAAAAATTTCATTCAATAAATATTCAAATTTTAAGAGTGATTTTGAAAAATGGAAACTTGAAAGGGCAGATCTTAAGCCATAAATGGGAGCTAGATAATAGCAATATACATTTTTTTTTTGGTAGAATAGTTAATCAAACGGTAGCAACAAAAAAAAATCAATTACATACACAATAGGATATTGGAAAGTCAACGAAGATGAAGCTGAAGATATTGACATAAGCCAGGAAGGAGTTATAGCAGTTCTAATACTTAAAGACCTGGAATTCATTTAAAAACGTTATGAAGTCATTTTCATGTGAATCTTTGTTAAGATGTCCACTTTATTTTCTCCACCTTCAAAAATTTTTTTTATCTTTTTTTCTAGTTGACCTCATATAATAAATTTGGTATCAAAATTTGTAATTTAATAATCTCTATATATAAAATTAACTTAGTTTAAAAAACAAAAGTTTAAGTTTTTTTTGAAGTAACTATATATATATATATATAATTATAATTATATTATATATATATACTAACTATTTTACAATAACTATATACCACATCTCAGTCAAAGATGTATATTTTTTTACTTATATATATATATACTTTTTATGGTACATTTTATCTGATTTTTATAGTTACTTTTTATTATCAACTATAAAAATTTAAAATATCTAGATAAAAAATAAAGTTACCCAAATATCAGTCATTGCTGGAGGAATTGTTTTTTTTCCATCTCGAGATATCCCATAAGAAATTTTGTAGCGTAACAATTTCCCATTGATATATTCATTAGGTATTGGAACCCAGTTAAACACAGCCTCACTTGGACGATTCTTATCAATATACCAACCAGTTATATTGGGACCAATAGATGGAACTAAAAATAAAAATATACTTATTTACAACAATTATAAAACCAACATGTTAAAACTTATATCAACATAAGTAAGCATGTAGTAGTGTAGTGATAAAACACTTGCTTAACAAACAAAAAGTTCTGAGTTTAATCGCCATCACATCTCTGGTAGTACCGCAATCAACTTGTTTCTCAGCGCAGCAGCCTTGTTCATTAAGATTTTTGTTTTGGAGTTAAAAAGAGAGAGTTGTAACCACAATAGAGTAGCTTGACTGTAGTGGCCTTTTCAACCAAATGATTACAATTTAAAAAATATAGGCTTTTAATTATGCTTTTGTTTACTTGATTTAATTGCCAACTTGATAAACTTGCCAGGTATGACATATTT